GGCCGCCTCCGCAGCCGCCGCCGGTGCCCTTTGCTGCAGTGGGCGAGGTGCGGTGCCAGGTGGAGTCGCGGTTACCGGGGCGACCGGGGCCCGGGCCCGCTCGGTGGCTGCAGCTCTCCCACTGCAGCAAAGGGCACCGGCGGCGGCTGCGGAGGCGGCCGGGGGAGGGGAGAGCCTGCGCGGGTGGGAGTAGCGGGCTGTTCTCCCTCCCCCGCCCGACGCGGGACCAGGCTCCGCGCGTGCACCTGTAGCCGCAGGTAAGGGCGAGCGGCGGTGGGGACTCAGTAGCCGCGTAGGGTTCGGTGGGAGAGGGGGCGGGGACCTGGAGATCGAGTCCCGATCCACGGTTTGGAGAACTGGTCTAGGGGTGCGGGGCGTACGGCTGCAGCGGGTTCCCGATCTCGGAGAAACGCCCCCTCCCTTTCCCCACCGCAGCAGGTGCCTTCCACGTGGATCGGCCCCCGCCCCCAAATGCGGCAGGCGCCCCCTCCCCCAATCGCGGAAAGTCATGACCTTCCCTGGGTGCGCCCTGGGCCGTGCGGCTCTCGCAACGCACCCCCTCCTCGCGCACTCGGCCTCCGCAGGGCTCTGAGCCGCTGGTATCGCTGCAAACCCCTAGGGGGAGGGCCGTGTGCGGCGTGGCGGTTGCAGGCTGGCAGCCACCGTGGCCGGTGGCGTAGCCTTAGGCTGGGAGCTAGCGTTTCCGTGGACTTGGGTTCACAGGAGTTGGGAGGTGGGTGTGTGCGCCAGTCTGGGTGGTGCGCGAGTCGTGGGTTGCCTTCCTCTCTGGAGGATGCTCCCTTGGGGCCTGAGGTCAAGGAGGGGTCATGCGGACACCTACCCTACCCCAGGTCGCCTGCTCAGGGAAAGGGAAAGGAACTGAGGTAAGGTCCCGGTGGGATCGTCTCACCCCTCCAGGGTTGGCTGGAGTGGAAGGAGGAGGGCCCGCTAGGGGGAGAAACCAAGGCTAAGTACTGGAGAGGTGAAGAGTACCTGGTTAACTCCTCAGCTCTGAAAGGAAAAAGCTGTTTTTTCCACTCCTGGGCTCCCTGTGGGAAGTCCCCTACCCCATGGCTGAAAGCTTGGTCCTGAGGGATGGTTGGCTTCTGTTTTTGTCCCAGCTCCCGCAAGCCCTCACTACCAGCAGCAGGTCCTGCTAGTGGCTCTCCTGCTCAGCTCACTTTCGCAGTCCCTGAGTTCTGGGAAAGCTTGTTCTCCCTGTACTTAGAGATGTTTTGGTGAGGCTTTATCGAGTGAAGAGAAGAGGAACCCCGGGCCCCTTCTGTCCCTGCCTTTTAATATTTATTTATTTATCTTGAGGCAGGGTCTCTCTCTCTGTTATTATGTAGCTCTGGCTGTCTTGGAACTCTCCAGGTAGACTAGGCTGGCCTCTAACTCCCAGAGATCCACCTGAGCATGAGGATGCAGGCCTTTAATCCCAGCACAGAGGCAGGCAGATCTCTGTCATTCTGTCAGGGGTTTTTTAGACCCCTGTCATTCTCAGGAAAAAGACTCAGAACAGCCAGGGCCAGGAGTTGGAGGGAGCGGGACCTGGCCTAGTCTTTAGAACTACCGGCTCCCTGCTGACCTTGCCTGGTTTGCTTGATTGGCAGTTATTCATCGTCACAGATTTGTTGAGGGCATTGCTACCTACCAGGTACTGTGTTGGGCACGGGCTGAGGAATCTACAACTAGGAAGGGGACAGGGAAGGGACTGGGGTGTCCCTCTTGTACAGCAGAGGAGCCTCTACACTCTGTCATCAGGGATGGTCCCATGGGTTAACACCTGGAAGGGTGGATGATGGCCCATCTCCCCAGGGGCAATTTCCCCCTCCCAGAACAGAGAGTTGCTGGGAGACCATGTACCTGGGTCCTGCTGGGGCCAGCTAAAAGGATCCTTTTTCCGCATCTGAAGAGAGGATGAAGGAAGGAGGCAGGACACTCAGAGCTTCAAGTTAGAGGGCTAGATGACAGTGTCGTCAGCCCCTGCACGTCCCCCAAACACAAGCATAGCTTCTTTCCCATCCGTATCCTTCCCAGAGCTAGGATGATCTTTCCCGGACACTGATACTAGCACCCTGTTATCTCCCTTGGGCCTGTGTGTGACCCAAGCCTTCCAGGTCCTGCCTGGTGGGGCTGTACAGGCTTGGAGCCCACGGTGAGGCCTGGCCAGTGTGGCTCTAGCCAGGTCTTGCCTATCCATCTCCTAGGAACACCAATTGGGTCTCAGTCGTCTGCACCAGGTACCCCGATCCCTTGTGCTGAGACTGGTGACAGAATTAGGGATAGGACAGCTTTTTATTACTCTTGGTTCAGGAAACCAACTCCCCGACACATGATGATAGTGCCATCGTAGCTATTGGATACTGGCTAAAGGTGCCACCAGTGTCCTGACCCAGCTAGTAGACAGGAGCAGAGAAAGGACATTTTCTCTGAGTTCTGTGTGCTTCATACATTGCTCTGGTTTTTAAAAATTACATTTATTTAGTATGTGTGTGTCGGGGTACATGCACTTACCATGGCATATGTGTATGGAAGTCAGAGGACAGCGTGGGGGAGTTGGTTTTCTCATTCTACCATGTGGACTCCGGATATCGAACTCAGATCTTCAGACTTGGCAGCACGGACCTTCACTCACTGCGCCATCTTGCTGGCCCTTGTGTACTATTTTGTGTATATTTCTGTTGTTAGTGTTTGTGTATTTGTGTGAATGGGTGTCCCTGCCTCTATGGCTCTGTGGTGTGCTGAGGGGGGTGTGACTGGTCTTACCACCCTTTATGTCTTTAATTGAGCATAGTGCTAGCTGGGGTCCTTGGGAGTACATATGAGGAACCTGAATCGGATGGTCAGTGTGGATGTCTTCGAGTTACTCTGTGTTCCTGGGGCCATTTCTCATGGCTTCCCCTAATGCTGTGCACCTTAGTGGGTGTGTTTGTTGTTCTTAGTATGTTTGTGACATCCTTGTCTATCCAAGGATGTGTCTGAGTCTACCAGCTCACCACAGGAACAACGTGCATGTTGCAGGGAGCTGTGTATGCTCCTGTGCCCATAGTGGGGTTGGTAGGGAGTGTGAGGCTTTCTCTGCAGAGCCGTCTGTCATTTCTGGTCTGCAGACATGAATTTCAGCACAAAACTTTCCGAGTCCTCAGCCTGCCTCTGATGTCTCCTATGAGTCCTCTCTCCATGCTTCCCGTTCTATCCAAGGTCACAGAAGCTGTGGCTCAAGTCTTTAAACCCTGCCCCTTCCTGTGCTATCCGAGGGTATCCCTTGCCACCTCAGGGCTGCCCTGTGTCCACACAACCTTTGCTGACCCCCTTTCCTTGCCTGAAATGTGGCTACTTTTCATCTTTTGGAGCCAGTAATTTGGGAGAGAGATCGGGATTGTGGACCAGGCATGTGTGTAGGGTGGCAGCAAATGAACTTTATTCCAGACCCAGGCTGGCATCACCCCACCCTAAAGAGCTGTCACTATAAAATATGTACCCAGCTGTAGCCATCTCAGCTCTTCCATGCCCCCAACACATCCAGGGGGCACAGGGTACCACAGCGTGGTGTCTTTCCAGCAGGAACCCTCAAGGTCCCTCTCCTCTGCCATTGGCTCTGAGGCCTGGGGAATCTTGTCTGCGCGTGCCAAGCACCCTGGGACCAGGCCATCTGCTGCCTCTGTCCTCCTGCTGAGGCTGGCACCGGTCAGCAGGGTACCCTCAGCTTTGCCAAGAACCAGCCCGCCCTCGGGGCTGTCCTTTCCTTGTTGGTAACCATCTGGAAGGACCTTCTGGTCTCTAGGGAGGGCAGGGCAACCCAGGGTTACTGCGAGTGAGGAGAAGCCTTGGGGCCCCTTACAGTTCTTTCCCACTGTTTCTGTACTCCAAGTGCTGCCCAGGCTCCCATCCACTGCCTAGTGCCAGAGGCCGCTGGCAGTGGTCCACTTTTCTCCACAATCCTTGCACATCCTGGCACACAGGCCTGCCTACCCTGGCCTTGGTCCCAGCCACCACCATCTCCTCCCTGCCCTTAGCCCTACTGGGGTCCCATTCCCTTTTCGTGATTTCTTTCCTCGGTTTCCTGTACTTTGATCTGTAGCTGTAGCGCCATTGAAGACTGCTCAGTTTCTAGCTTCTGCTGTTGACCCCACACCGCCATCTGTGTCTTCCCAGCCCTCCTGCCTGCTCCGGGCACCTATGTAGGCCTGTGTAGGTCTGCTCAGCACACCTTTCTCCCATCTCCAGCTCTTCACTTTCCTGTCCACGCTGGAATGCCATCTTTTCTGGGGCATTTGACCTGGCCTCTCTCTGGTCCCACAGCCCAGATTGGGTCACTGCCGTCCCTCAGATCTTTGACCGTCTCATAGACATCCGCCCTTTTCCTCACCTGCAGCTCTTTCCGAGGTCAATTACTATGGCTAGAAAGACACTTGAAACAGTGGGAACGTTCTAGCCTGCTCCCCCACCAGCAGACCTGGAATCTGCCCATTCTTGGTGAACCAGAATGTTCCAGCCTCACGAGAGAATGGAGAGGCGCAGGCATTGCCTACTGTCTGCTCCTCAGAGGGTGGAGGCCCATGACCCAGGGTTGTGTACTGAGAGTCTCTGTCCTGTCCTCCCCCACTTCCCTGTCAGCCCCCTCGTAACCGTCTCTTCTCTTATTCCCATCAGCAACCAAACTACTGGAGCTTCAAGGTCAGTGCGCGCTGCTTCTGCCTCTGTGACAACTGCATGTCCTGTCCTCCCCTCCCCACCTCTGCCTTGCACAATGCTTTGCTCTGGGGTGTGCACCTGCAGGGGCCCCCTCCTCTGTGGGCGGTGGGCCTGGGGCTGCCGGCTATGGCTGCTGCTTGGGGGAGAGTCTGGGTTTGTCTGCCAGGGGCTTATGGATCCAGAGTGGGAGTTTTGCTATCTCTGCTGGAGGTTTGGGCTAGAGATGATCAAGTCCTCAGCTCTCCCAGCCTGCTAGGGGTGTTTTAGGAGGAGAAGGGTTCCTGAGTCTTAGAGAGTAGTAGACTGACAGAGGCAGGGACCTGAATGCATGCATTCCCTGTGGGCCCTGGACCTCACTTTGTCCCTCAAAGGAAGGCCTCATGCCTGCCTTTTTTACTCCCCGTCATCAGGACAAGGCAACACACTTGCCCTTTAAATTTGTTCACCTGGGGAATGGGTGCCTTCCTACCTCCTCTGAACAGTTTTATTCCGGAGAACTGGAGTGCTTTCTCCCTACTCCCAGGATACCATGGTGCCCCTGGGGGAGCACCCTCAGGCACTCTCTCCTTCTTCCTTGACCCCATACCCAGGGCTGGGTAAAGGAAGTTCTGCTGTGGCTTATTGTGTAGGATCTGTGGTCCCTGGAGCCTCAGACCTTAGGAAAGGGTAGCAGGGTAGCTGTAACCCAGACTCACCAGGTGACCGGTGTGCAAACTTCTTCCTCTTTTTTTTTTTCCCCCAAAGCCTTTGAAGTATCATGGGATCCTGTATCTGCCTGTCAGCCCTCCCTGGAGGGGGCAGGAGAAAGGGGAGGGTTAATGCATGGGCCTGAGGGTCTGGTGGCCTGGTGGTGGATTCTAGCTTGCTATTAATTAGCTTACTGACCCAGCAGGAACTTACAGTCCTCTGGGCCCTGTTTTCTTTTTTGGAGAGTGAACAACAGTGTCTTCATCATAAAGGGGTTCCCCCGCTCCACTAGTGGGGATTAAACCCAGGCTCTTGAGCATGCAACTCTTTGGGGGTATTGTTTTTGTTTGTTTTGCTTGCTTTTGAGACCAAGTCTCCCTGACCGGCCTGAAACAGGCTGTGTAGGCCAGGCTGGCCTCAAACTCACAAAATGCCACCTGCCTCTGCCTCTTGAGTGCTCGATTTAAAGGTATGTGCCATCATACCCAGTTCCCTCACCCTTTTTTTACCTTTTATTTTGAGACAGGGTGTCACTAAGTTGTCCAGGCTACCTCTGTAGCTCTGGCAGGCCTTGCATTTGTGATCCTCCTGCCTCAGCCCCCTAAAGTGCTGGATTACAGGCATGTACCGTCAAGGCTGACTCAGGATTGCTGAGAGATGAGAAGAATGCATGTCCGAGACAGTTTGTCCTGTTAGCAAGTTTTCCCTGGTAGCTGACTTCATCAGCGTTAGAGTGGTGGATGCTGACCAGATTCCAGCCTCTGGATGCTACAGTTGCCTTAGGCTTTCATAGGCCGCCGTGAGCCCCAGGCTTCCACTGTGAATCCTGGAAAGAGTTTGGTGAAAGCTCCCAGGTGCTCCTGCCCGAGTCTGTAGAGAGCTGCTGGGAGCCCCCAGATCTTGGTGTGACTGTCCTAACCCTGCCTCCTCTGTCTGGCAAGGTCTCATTAGCTTCTTGGTGGAGCAGGTACAATGGCTGAGTTCACTGCCTCCCTCGGCAGCCCCATCCTGTATTCAAGTTCTCTTTGAATTCCTGTTTCCTTCTGTTGCCATCTGCCTTAGTCAGAACCTCTAGACTGTGATCAGCAGCTCATATGTGATTGTCAGTGTGGTCAAGCACAGGCTCATGAGCTTATTTAAAACATAAGATTTATTTTGTGATTTTTTTTTTTGTAACTTTTGTTCAGTTCCTAACTGTGAATTTGGTAGACAGCATGTCAAAAATTGAACAGGCCTGCTAGTGGCTTCTAGATGTTTCATTTTCTCTGCTTTGGTCCAGGAAGCAGAAAGAAGTGTTAATAGACTTTTCCTTCTTAGAGATATCCCCCCCACCCCCCCGCGCAAAGTTTCTCTGTGTAACAGCCTTGACTGTCCTGGAACTCACTCTGTAGACCAGGCTGGCCTCAAACTCACAGAGATCCACCTGCCTCTGCCTCCTGAGTGCCACCACTGTCTGGCCTAGGGTTTTCTATAAAAGTAGAAAGAACGGAAAGGTGCCCATGGTGCTCGAGTGGCGGCAGGAGCAGGCAGAGGAAGAGATGGGGCTCTTTTTTTTCCCTAGCGTTCTTATTTTTTGTGGCCAGCCATCCCCAGGATCCTGTCCTCTTTGTCTGTCCACTCCATCCTTTTCCAGACATCTCATTTGTGACCCCACTCTGACCCAGTGGCCACTCCCATTCTTCATCTCTGCCAGCTGCTTCATTCTGAAGCTTCTCATCGACCCCAGTCTGGCAACCACTGACCTTTCAGTTGCCTGGCAACCCCATGCCCACCAGCTTGGTTCAGACTCCCTCACTTCTGAATAGGTTGCTGCTGCAGTGGTTTCTCTGGGGACGAAGGTGGGAGGGGCTCTCACAGTTGGCCAGCCTAGGATTGAAGCCTAGGTTCTGAAGTCTGAGATCTCCCCAAGCCGGCCTTCCAAGACCACCTCCTTTCCTCCCTCCTGCCAAGGTATTGTGCTTGAGTCTGGAAGCCCCTTGGTGACCTCCAAGTCTGATTTTTCATGTCCCCAAGCTCTCAAGGCCACTCTGCCTGAGGACAGCTGGGCACACGGCTTGCTGGAAAATGCTCTCCCTTTCTGAGAGTGCTATTGGATGGGACATTAAACTGGCTTTAATAGGAAGACAGATTAATTAAGGGGTAATCAGGATTTAGGGAAAGGAGAGATTGGATAGGAGAATAAACTATTCCTCTTTAGAGATGTTTGTTAGAGGGGTGGGTGCTTGCCTGCAATCCCACACTTAGGAGGCAGAGACAGGAGAATAGACACAAGCTTGAGGCCAGCCTGGCCTATGTATTAGTACTGGGTTGGCCAGTCATGGCTCCATAGTGAGACCCTGTCTCAAAAACACAAAACAAAATTAGAGGAATGCCTTTGCTATTGTCTTTTTAGTTGTATAAGTAATATATTCCAATTGTTCATAATTCAGTTTCATAAAGGAATAGAATGGAGAAAGTTCTCTTGAACCGGGCACTCATGGCACACTCCCTTTATCCCAGAACTTGGGAGGCAGAGGCAGGCGAATCTCTGTGAGTTTGAGGTTAGCCTGGTCTACTTAGCCAGTTCTAGGTAGCCAATGCTACATAGTGAGAGTCTGTCGAAAAATAATAACGATTTGGGCTGGAGAGATGGCTCAGCAGTTAAGAGCATTGCCTGCTCTTCCAAAGGTCCTGAGTTCAATTCCCAGCAACCACATGGTGACTCACAACCATCTGTAATGGGGTCTGGTGCCCTGTTCTGGCTTGCAGGCATACACACTGACAGAATATTATATCCATAATAAATAAATAAATAAATATAAAAAAATAATAACGATTTAAACCATCCAGTGTCTACATAGTAGCTGGGTTTAGTGTGGGAACTGGGGCTGAATGGCAGGGGTTGTGACCCTGGGTGACAGCCAAAAGTAAGTTCTAAAGACAATTGAAATAAGGAGAGCCACCACCTTCCAGGAGACAGGGGCCAGGCCCATCTTGTGGCATCCTTCCCACTGAGCTCCAACTCTAGGCCTTTATTTCGGGGGAGGGGAACTGGGACTTGAACCTAGGGATTCTCTGTGACATCCTTCCCCACCTCAGCTGTAGCCATAGGGATAGGGCTGCAATACTCATGGCTAGGGGAGGCCAAGCACGCTGTGACAGGTTCGTGTCCCAGGGAGGGCGGAGCCCACACAGTACACTTGTGTGTGCCACACCTGGCTTTGCATGTATACGGTGTGTACAGTTTACTTTAAATCGTGGTTCAGTGGATTCAAGACTTTGGGAGACTCCCCAGTTACAAAATCCTCTAAGTCAAGAACCCCGCATGGACACCTCCCAGTGCGAAAAGCCTGGGGTCCCTCAATCTCTTTGCTTTCTCCCTGCTCCCCCAAGCCCCCTGAACTCCATGAAGACTAAATCCGCCGCTCACACACCCGCCGCTTAATTAATGTCTGGAACTAATGCTCCAATTTGCCCAACAATTCTGCTGCTCACCTCGGTGACAAATTTGTGTTGTTGTTCGTTGGAAGCTTAAATTAGCAGGCATGCCCCTGGGTCCAGCTCAGATGGTTTCTTGTATGGCATCCCAGGGTGCCTGAGTCGCTTGCCCCCTACCTACCTACGGGTGTCCCAGGGAAGCCAAGACCTTCGAGAGTTGAGGGATCTTTCTACAGCTGCCCAGCGAGTTTGGAACCCAGGAGACCCACCTCTGAATGTGTGCGTGTTGCTGGCTGGCTGGAGCTCTGTGGCCCAGATGGAGGCTGTGGCAGAGCAAGGGATGGGGGTGGGGGCTCATGCTTGGTGCCTCTCGCCCTGCCCTGCCCCTGCAGACCCGCAGCTCGCGTCATACTCAGGGAGCCCAGCCAGGGCTGGCAGACCAGGCAGCCAAGCTGTCCTACGCCTCGGCTGAGTCGCTGGAGACCATGTCCGAGGCCGAGCTGCCCCTGGGCTTCAGCAGGATGAACCGCTTCCGACAGAGCTTGCCTCTCTCCCGCTCTGCCAGCCAGACCAAGCTGCGCTCACCAGGTACTGCCCAGCCTGCTTGCCTTCAGGCCCTGCCACAGCTCCTCCCTTCGGTTTATCCCGCCCTTCGCTACTCCATCTCCTGCCACTCCCTCCTCTAGCAGCGGACGCCTCCTCGAAGTTCTAGCTCTTTCTTCTCTGCTAGACCTTAGCATACCCTGCTGGCCCTTAAGCTCTCTCAGCGTCCCCTCTATCCAGCCCTTTTCTATTTCTACTAGGCTTTTTCTTTTCTTTTTTCCCTCCCGGCGTTCTCGCCAGCCTCTCGAACTTTCCCGACTTTTTTTCAGTTTGTGCTCCATCAGCTCCTTCCCCCAGCTCCATTTCCGCGTCCAGACTCCAGCTGCCTGGGGTCCGGGGGGTTTTTGGAGAGGTGGGCCGCAAACCGGCGGCATGAGGAGTGCATGGTTGCACTTGCACTCGGGGGCAGCCTCCGGCCTCAGACCTTGCCGCTGTGGGACTGATGCCGCTCCCGAAGGCTCACCGCACTCCCCTGGCGCGAAGCCGGCTGATAGAGGCGGTGACCGTGAGGGCGGCGTCTCCTTCGCAGGGGTCCTGTTCCTGCAGTTCGGGGAGGAGACCCGACGCGTACACATCACGCATGAGGTCAGCAGTCTGGACACGCTGCACGCACTCATCGCGCACATGTTCCCGCAGAAGCTCACCATGGGCATGCTCAAGTCGCCCAACACCGCCATCCTCATCAAAGACGAAGCTCGGAACATCTTCTATGAGCTGGAGGACGTCCGGTGGGCACGGCCCCAGGGCTTGGGATAGACTTCCCCACACTTCTCTGAAGAGTGCGGGACCTCTGGTGGCCCTTCCGTAGATCATTAGGCACCCTCTCTTCACCCTTGGCCTCCCCACCAAGTCCTAGTGTCCCGCCCTCTTTGTGTTAAATCATTCAGACTTGTGGGTTCCCACTGGCAGGAAGCTATGGAAGTGACTCCCCCTCCCCTCCGTGTGTGTGTGTGTTGCACACTCATGCTTCCTTGCTGGTGGCAGACATCCCAAGGAGTCACTGAGTACCGGGCTTAGGAAAGGGGGAAAGGGTTGGGTGTCAGGGACCTCTTGTCTTCCTCATTGTGCGCAGCTAGGGGGAGCACACTGTGACCCTCTGCCTCGCTCTCTCCCTGGCAGAGATATCCAGGACCGCAGTATTATTAAGATCTACAGGAAGGAGCCACTGTATGCTGCTTTTCCTGGTTCTCACCTCACTAACGGGGACCTTCGGGTATGTTTGGGAGCACACAGGGCACTGGTGAGATTGGACAGGTGGAATCTAGGCAGAACTAGGACGTTTTCGGAGATGGGAACTTAAGAGAAGGGGCGGGGTTGTCCTGGTGAGTTGTGAGGTTATGGAAGTGCCGTCTGCTCACCTGCTACCTTCCCCACAATCCTCTCAAGATTTTTCTAAAGGGCCTTTAGATACTGTAAGACCCTTCCGGCCACTCCCCTTTCTCTCCTTCCTGGTCCCCATCAAGGATGGGCTGAGGGTTGCTTTTCTGATGTCTTTCCATCTGCCTGTTTACTTACCCCCATGCTGGGAGTACTGATGGGCAAGGGGCCCAGGATGCTGCAGGAGATGGAGTGGGATTCCTAAGCTTGGTTGCGGGAGAGGTGAGGTTCTGTCTCCTCGAAGGGAAGGAAGTCCTCTTTGTGACCAGCTCCGTGGGCTTTTTTGGGCTGTTTTCTGCGCAGAGAGAGATGGTGTACGCGTCGCGGGAGTCGTCGCCCACGCGGCGCCTCAACAACCTGTCGCCTGCATCGCACCTAGCATCTAGCTCGCCACCTCCAGGGCTCCCATCGGGCCTGCCGTCGGGCCTGCCGTCGGGCCTGCCGTCGGGCTCGCCCTCGCGCTCACGCCTCTCCTACGCTGGGGGCCGCCCGCCCTCTTACGCCGGCAGTCCGGTGCACCACGCGGCTGAGCGACTGGGGGGTGCCCCGGCCAGCCAGGGCGTGAGCCCCAGTCCCAGCGCCATCCTGGAGCGGCGCGACGTGAAGCCGGACGAGGACCTGGCGGGCAAAGCGGGCGGCATGGTGCTTGTGAAGGGCGAGGGCCTCTATGCTGATCCCTACGGGCTTCTGCACGAGGGCCGCTTGAGCCTGGCCGCTGCAGCGGGTGACCCGTTTGCATACCCGGGCGCAGGCGGATTGTACAAGCGGGGCTCGGTGCGCTCACTCAGCACCTACTCTGCCGCCGCTCTGCAATCCGACCTGGAGGACTCGCTGTACAAGGCAGGCGCAGGCGGCCCTCTCTACGGCGATGGTTACGGCTTCCGCCTGCCGCCTTCTTCCCCACAGAAGCTGGCCGACGTGTCGGCGCCCTCTGGGGGACCCCCACCCCCGCACAGCCCCTACTCGGGGCCGCCAAGCCGTGGCTCGCCGGTGCGCCAGTCCTTCCGCAAAGACTCAGGCTCCTCGTCGGTCTTTGCCGAGAGTCCCGGAGGCAAGGCCCGCAGCACTGGGAGCGCCTCGACGGCCGGAGCACCACCTTCCGAGCTTTTCCCTGGACCTGGAGAGCGCTCTCTAGTAGGATTTGGGCCGCCGGTGCCAGCCAAGGACACAGAGACCAGGTGAGGGACTTAGAAGAAGGAGGCACTGCAGAGGGTGGCCGGTTCTCTCCGGGTTTAGGTCACAGGGGAGGGCCAGAGTATCTTCAATGTGGCAGGGAGGACGTTGGATGGCTGGGTGAAGCCTCAAGTGATGACTGGAACAGAGACCCGACTTTGTGTTTATTCCCCAAGCCTCGGTTTACCCGGAGGTAAAATGAAGGTGCTGATTCAGCCCTTTTACTGCCCTGACAGCAGTGAGAGAGCTGTCCAGCACAGGAACCCGCTGAAATCCGCGGGAGCAGCCTCGGGATGGGGAGGAGCTGGGCTTTTTGTGTTTATGTTTTGTGTTCTGGAGACAGGGTCTTTGCTATGTAGCCCAGGCTACTAAAACTCTCAGCAATCCTCCTGCATCAGAGTGACTTGTGGGAGCAGTGGTAGAGAGGCAGTGGAGAACTAGGAATTTGAACCCTGACTTTGGGTTCCTGTTCAGTGTGGCAGCTAAGGGAAGATGAGGTGTCTGTCCTCTGGCTGCTAACCTTAGGACTGGGGAATGGGGTGGGCAGGAGGGACCACAAACTCACAGGAGCAATTGCTCAGATTCACCTTCCTCCCCAGGGAACGCATGGAGGCCATGGAGAAGCAGATTGCAAGCCTCACAGGGCTGGTGCAGAGCGCTCTCCTGCGAGGCTCAGAGCCGGAGACCCCAAGGTGAGAGGCCCTCTCTCAATACCACTATCAGCACGGGGCTTGGGGGGGGGAGGGCGCGGGGGCGGGGCTTGAGGCAGCGATGAGCGCCGCCATGAGCTAAATCAGCTCAGGTGAGTCCTGAGCTCTACCTGTGTCTGCTGTGGCTCTATCCTAAGATCAGGGAGCTGGGGTAACATTTAAGGTCCCATTCAGCTTGGGTGGTCTGAGGCCATCCCAAGCTCCCACAACCATTTTCTTTTATTTCCGCCATAGTGAGAAGATTGAAGGCTCTAATGGAGCAGCCACGCCCTCAGCACGTGAGTGACCCTTCTCTTCCTCTCAGAGTTTTGGGATTAGTTTCCTGACCCTGAAGCTAGGCTGCCAGCTCTACTAGTAGCTATATCATGGGGCTTTCTGCCGATAAATGAGTCATCATCTTTGCCCAGGCACATGGCTCCTGCTAGGACTTGCCACCTTAGGGTAGCTGGTCATAACCGTGTGCCTCTCTGGCTGGGTGTGGGGCGTGAGTGGAGAGGATGGCTTTTTCCTCTCACCGTTTGTTCCTCTTTCCTTATCACTCACCTTTCTGGTCCCTCTCGGCAGCGTGCGGATCGGGTAGTCGGAGCAGCGGGGCCACTCCGGTGTCGGGCCCTCCCCCACCCTCGGCCAGCGGCACCCCTGCAGGGCAGCCCACTGCTGTCAGCCGGCTGCAGATGCAGCTGCATTTGCGGGGCCTACAGAACAGTGCTAGCGACCTGCGTGGCCAGCTTCAGCAGCTGCGCAAGCTCCAGGTACCAAGGCCCCACCTCCACTTAACTTACTCTCCCCAGGCTCTGCCCCACCTTTCCTCACCATCCAACTCTGGCGGAGTGGAGTCCTTCATGTTCAGTGGTCTTTCTTTGGACCCTTCTTTTCCCTTTCTAGTTTCCACTTCCTCATTAAACCTTGCTCCTCTCACCAAGCCCTGATCCTTTACTGACCCCCAGTCTCCTCCCTCCCTGAGTCTTAGCCCACTCCTTCCCCCTTCACCATCCTTTGAGGCTGTCCCAGCTCCTTCAGACCGTGCATCCATATTCCCCAGATCCCCTCAGCTCCTGCTTCCTGAACCTGGAGTGGCTGTCCTGCCCTGCCTGGCAGATGGTCCCACCTGTCAGGAGCCTGGCATCACTGTGCCGGCTCCACAAGAGGGGCTCGGGGCTTGTCAGGTGAGGATAATGAGCAGAGACAGGCTGAAGTGGGGAGGCAGAGAGCTGCCATCTGGGCCACCGGTAAGGTCTCGCCCACCCACGTCAATTGGGCTCGGAACTGAGACTTTTATCTTGTAGGCTCAGCCACAGTGGCAGACCCTGTCAACCACAGAGTTTGGGTCCTTCACCCCAGACCCTGTCTCCACTCAGGGCTATTTGAGGACATAACTGCACAGTCACACTGTCGTCAGGGCCCTACCTAGTGTTACCCCTTGGCAACACAAATTTTCATCTTGTTCCCCTGTCCCTTCAGAATATAATCTTGGTCTACGTTCTCAGCTGTCCCACCCTTCCCTGCTGCTCACAGCCCTGCTGCTCACAGCCGCAGCCACAGCCATGCCGCTGTAACTTGGGCGAAACCCATAATAACTTTGCCCTCTCTATGAGCCCTATCATCCTCGGTCAGGATCTCCTGATGGGTTCTCTCCAACTCAGTCCTTGACCCTTGTGTCTATTTTGCCACGCCTTTGCAGCAGCTCACCCAGCAACGCAGTCTTCTGTGGAGTTTTGCTTGTACAGGGCTGCCCTCTGCCCACCCTTCCCCAGCAACATTCATTCTCCCCCGACCCGGTCCACGCGTGCATTCTTGCCCACGCGGACATCCTTGCTCTTGCAGCTCCAGAACCAGGAATCAGTACGCGCGTTGCTGAAGCGCACCGAGGCGGAGTTGAGCATGCGTGTGTCGGAGGCGGCGCGGCGGCAGGAGGACCCGCTGCAGCGGCAGCGCACCCTGGTGGAGGAGGAGCGGTTGCGTTACCTCAATGACGAGGAGCTCATTACTCAGCAGCTCAAGTGAGGCTGGGCCCCTGCGCGCGGTGGGAGGTGGGGGGTGGGGGGCGGCTGCCGGGGTGACCCAGCCTGATTTGCGTGGGAGACGCATCCCCTTTACTTCGGAATCATGCATAGATGACGTTGGTCTGTTCTGAAGTCTGATTTCACCCTCCTCTGTGGCCTGATTTCTCCATGACCCACAAACCTTTGGCCATCTGGCATAATTCCTGATTTCTTTTTTTTTTTTTTTCTGGCTTGGTGCCTGCCTCTGCCATGTTATTGCTTCCTGTGGCCTGCAGCCAGTTGTCTGTTTCCCCTCTTTCCTCTGCCCGCTCTCCTTGTGACCTATGCAGCTTCACCCTCGGGTTGAGCAAGAAGGTCAAGGTTGTTGTCAGGAGTCTCAGGTGAGGTGTTGCTGACCCTTTGCTACGCTGGTCCCTGAGACCAAAAGTCAAGGGAAACCCGCTCCCCTTCTCAGCATAGTGACGCCGGGCTCTGGTACTCTTAAAGGAGGCACAACAGAGATCATCCCGCTCTGAGAGCTTAGCCGCAGAAGGGTTAACAGACACAGTCTGGTCCAGATTTAGCAAATGGCTGTCTGGCCACAGTTCCTTTGTCTGGCACCTGTGATGGGAGATGCTGCTGTTTTTCCTGTGTCCATTCAGGAAGCAGCGCCGCGGTCCACCGCAGCTTTTTCTCCGGAGATATTTGGGCTGAGGCAAAGGCCCCACCCCTTCTCGTGGTCCCTTTTAGTGACACGAGGCAGTAGGAGGATCCAGAGCTATCCTACTAAGTCATATCTGGAGCCCTCACCAGGGGTTCTCTGAGGAGGTCACAGCTCAGCCCCAGGGCCCATGCAAGCCTGGTCTGCATTTTGGCAATGTTTAAGGCAAGGAGCCCTGTAGTGCTGTGACATCGTGCATCTGAGACGCAGTAAGGGGCCATCTCACATCTAAATAAGCCAGCAGCAGCAACCCCACCGCCCACCATGTCCAGGTGGGGTGACAGTGATGCCCGGGACAGATCTCTAAGCAGCCCAGCTGCTGTCCAGGGATCCTGTTTCCCCGCTTCCCTGTCCTGTCCTTGTCTCTTTCCATTCTGCATAGAGGAGCTGGGCCAGGATTTTCAAAAGGAGTTAGACAGAGACATTAAAGGGAAATTAAGGGAACCATCAAAGCACTGAGACAAGAGAGATAAAAGGACCGATTTATACCCTGCTCCTCATGAGTGTCTGGTCCCTGCTTTCCTGGGGGCCTCGGCTCTCTGGGAGCACTGAGAACCCCCAGCCTCTGTGTCTGATCACACCCATCACTCAGATGCTCTCTGTAGAGAACCCAGGAGCTGCCGGTGGGATTCACCAGCCTGGCGCTTGCCTCTTTTGAGTGAGGCAGGGACTGGGTCCTGTGATGGTTCTGATCTGGCCTGCAAGACCATCCCCTGCCTCCATCCTAGCTGCCCCACAGTAGCCCACATGTGCTCTCTCTCTCTCTCTCTCTCTCTCTCATATGTTCATTTTCCTTTGTTCCTTCCTCTTTTCTGGCGTCCCACGGGCAGCTGAAGCTGGGTTTTGGTTTCATTCCTGCTGGGCTCACTCACCTGTCTGTCTAGCCAGAGGCTTGGGCTCTCTCTAGACATCGTCCCCATTGACTGAAGCCTGTTGGCTTCCAAGTCTGTCTGCTGACCCATCGCTGGCTGTGGGAAAGGGCTATTTTTCCTATGGGTAGAATGCGGGCGGGGTGGGACAGCAGTTAGGTGACATCATTCAGTTTGGAAGTGAGACTCATCAGAGCCAATGGCTGAAGTCCCTCTTGAGTAGACAGTGCTACACCACAGAACAGTTGTGTGACCTTGAACTAGTTCCTCTCAGAGCTTCTGCCACCCTGCTTTGGGGAGGCCAAACCTCAATTAGGGTTCCTTATTTATTTAAGGCAGCTGCTACAACAAGCTCCCAAATCATTTAATGGTTCTAAAGTAAAAGACGCTAACCTGGGTGTGGCGGTGTAAGCCTGTAATCCTAGTACTTAGGAGGCTGAGGCAAAAGCATTGTTGAGTTCTGAGTCATCCTCAGCTACTGATTTTCAGCCAGCCTGGGATACGTTGAGATCCTATCTCAAAAACCTAGTTAAAGGGGCTAGTGAGATGACTCAGGGGTTAAGAACACTTATTGCTCTTGTAATAATAATAATAACCAAATTCAGTTCCCAGCACCCACATGGTGGCTCACATCTGTAACTCTATTTCTAAAGGTTCTGATGTGTGCTTCTGGCCTCTGTGGGCACCAGGCCTTCACACAGTATGCATACACGCAGGCAGAATACTTACACACCTAAAATTTAATAAATACATCTCTCTAAAAAAAAAAAATGATGGACAGATTTTTTTGAGAAAACACTAGGCAGGTTAGAAAGTTTCTCTCCCGGGAACTTTCTGGAGAGATGGCTCAGTGGTTAAGAGCACTGCCCGCTCTTCCAAAGGTCCTGAGTTCAATTCCCGGCAACCACATGGTGGCTCACAACCATCTGTAATGAGCAATCTGCTGCCCTCTTCTGGCCTGCAGGCATACACACAGACAGAATATTGTACACATAATAAATAAATAAATATTTACAAAAAAAAACAAGAAAAAAAAAGAAAAAGAAAGTTTCTCTCCCATATGCAGTCTGTCAGGGATTCGAGCTGGTGGTATTTCTGCCATGTTCCACATGTGCCTTCCAGAATCACCCAGATCATGGTCTTCATAACCAACTGGAAGGGGAAAGAATGTGGAGGGAGCTTGCACAGGAGGTCTTTATGGACTAGATCTGGAGACAGCATGTGCCCCTTCCATCCCTATTTCACCGGATAGGGAAATAGTTGGATGACCACTTCTAATTGCAAGGGAAGCTGAGAAATGTAGTTTAGTCTTTGAACCACTGTTTGCCCATGTGCTAACTGGAAGTAATATGCCTCCCTCCAGGACCTGTTTTAAGGTTGAAATGAGGAAATGAATATACAGGGCTGACGTGGCACCTGATGAACAGACAATGCTCAATGTCTTTAACCGCAGTTCTCTAACCGCTGGTTAGAGAATCTCGGGGTTTTGCCCTTGGCTCTGCCCTGGTCTGTCATTTCATCTTCTCGTTGGATAGGATGGCTGAGGCATGCTGATGAGCTTGGTTGATGACAGTGAACTTCGACCGAGAGCAGACACATCAGATGGTAGAACAGATTCAAGTCTTTTACATCTGCATTGTTGAGTTGAAATCCAACAGGTGGGACTTGACAGGAACGTATAGAAAGTCCTACATGTGGATGAGGGATGCCACCGACCCACATCCAGGGCTGAGATGGCGCACTTACCTGTAGCAGTTCTTCCTCTCACTTCTTCATCCTGCAATCTAAAAAATATTTAATTTTTTAACAAAATTATTTTTTTAAAAAATTACTATAATATTTGTGTCTGCATGTGGGTATATGCACATGTGTCCTGGTTCTCACAGAGGCCAGAGGTGGGTGCCAGGAATCTGACTCCGGTTCTTTGCAAGCACTGCATTTTGCCAGGTGGTGGTGGTGTTTGCCTTTAATCTCAGCACTCGGAAGGCTGAGTTTGAGGCTAGCCTGGTCTAAGGAAAGAGTTTCAGGACAGGCTCCAAAGCTACACAGAGAAACCCTGTCTTGAAAAACAAACAAAACAAAAGAGATGTGTGCTCACATCTCCAGCCCCGATTTCACAGTTATTGACCCAGTATGTGCTCCAAACCAGGCACCGACTGGGTGCCGGGAACGCAGATGAAACTGGGAAACGTCATTTTCTGCCTGCTTTGGGCTAGTGGCACAGAGAGTTCCCAAGCCAGCAAAGAGGAGCCTCGGGGGTTTGGGAGAAGACTCCTAACCCTCAGCGGGGAGACGGGGGAAGGGCTTCTTTTTGAGAGCTGGGATGAAATTAGCATGGAAATTTGTGTGTACAGGCCAATGGGATACTCTAGGCTGGGAGTACTTATTCTAAAGGGCCAGAGAGGGCAGCGCCAATAAGGACCTGGGAGAAATTCCGAATGATCTAAGCAGAAGCAAGCAGGGAAAGCAGTGTTGCAGAGAGAGACGCAAGAGTGATCTCCAGGGGCCGCTGGCTCCTTTAGTGCTCGTAGTAGCCCCAAGGGAGACACTCCTAGCATGCCCACTTCTTTTCTTTAATTTTTGTTTCTTAAGCTGGGTATAGTGGAGTTCTAGGCCAGCGAGGAACTCAGTTCGGTTCCTCTACCATATGGGTCCTGGGGATGGAAGCCAGGTCTTCAGGCTTGGCAGCAAGTGTGCTTTCTTGCTGAGCCAGCTCACCAGCCCCAGCATACTTTTTTTTTTTTTGTCTTTTTTTTCCTTTTTCTTTTTGTTTTTTCAGGAATGGATTTCTCTGTGAAACAGTTCTGGCTGTCCTGGAACTCGCTCTGTAGACCAGGCTGGCCTCAAACTCACAGAAATCCTCCTGCTTCTGTCTCCCAAGTGCTAGAATTAAAGGCGTGTGCCACCACCACCGCCCAGCCCACACTCATCTTCTGAGTGAGAAGATCGAAGCCCAGAGGGCCCAGGGTGTTAGGTGATTGTGTAAGAGCCTTCTGCTGGGAAAGCGGGGAAGGGGCGAGACGCAGATGTTGATGGCTGCAGAGCTAAGGTTAGGGTTTAGCCTCAGAATGATGGGTTTCACTGAAACTTAGGGTTTCATTTTTATCTATCTATTATATATAGATTATGTGTGCTTATATGGTGACTGTGAGTACACTTGTGTCTATGGGTGCACACGTGGGTGTGAGGTTGATGTCAGGTATCTTTATCACTTTCCACTTTTAAAAAGAGATCTATGTATTTTATCTTATGTATATGTTTGCTTGCATATATAAATGTATGTATGTATGTATATGTATGTGTGCACCATGTCCATGTCTGGTGCTCAGGGAGGTCAGAAGAGGGTACTAGATCCCCTGCAACTGGAGTTAGGCTTCTGGACCACCAGGTGGGTGCTGGGAACTGAACCCAGGTTCCCTGCAGAAGCAACAATTGCTCAGTATCTGCTGGAGCATCTCTCCACCTCTCTACCTTAGCTTTGGAGGCAGGGTCTCTCACGGACGCTGGAACCAGCCAGTGAGCTCCCAGAGCTGGTCTGTCTCAGCCCCCTCCTCACCCAAGGCTGGGGTTAAGGTTGTTCATTCTTGTGATCATCTTTTAGGTGGGTGCTGGGGATCTGAACTCAGGTCCTCACGCCTGCGTAGCAAGCACCTTATCCACTGGGCCATCTCCTTGGCCTCCCTCCCACCCACATATTAAGAACTTAACACAACCGGGCGGTGGTGGCACACACCTTTAATCCCAGCACTTGAGAGACAGAGGCAGGCAGATCTTTATGAGCTTGAGGCCAGCCAGGGTTATACACATAGAAACCGAAAAACCAAAAGATAAATGAATAAAAATAAAAAGAGCATAAGAACTTAACACATAGGGTGAAGACTTGGAAGACTTGGTTTGCTTTGGTTATGATTTTGGTTGGTTGGTTTGTATTGAAACAGCATCTTGTAACCCAGGCTGTCCTTAAACTTGTGATCCTGTCCCCAGCCTCCAAAGCACGTTTGTGCCGCTATGCTCAGCTCCTGGTTTGCGTTTTAGGAAGATGTGGGATCGTAAATGTTTCCGGTGAACGGACTGAAAACCTGAGGCAGTTTTGACCTTGGGGTGAAAGGCTCTGTGCCAGGGTCATTTGGCAAAGGGTGATGAGCATGGTTGTGCCCACAGACGGGTACTGCTGCCTCTATGCTATGTAAGGTTTGTTGGGACCACCATCTTCTCCACTGCTTCTGTGGAAGAGTTAGGGAGAGAGGTCATGTTACTGTAGATCAGGGCTTGTGGGGAGGCCGCGGTACCTAGTAAAGAACCGTGTGAAAGCCTCATCTTTGAGAGCTAGCATTGCCGATTTCACTTGAGTATTTAGCCTGGTGGGGCTTTTGGTTTTGTGATTCTTTTTAATGCTTTGTTTTGTTTGCACCAAGGTCTTACTATGTAGCCTAGGCTGGCCTCAAACTTTCCACAGTCCTCCCACCTCAGCCCTCCACGTTCTAGAATGACAGGGGTAAGCCACTACACCTGGCTATAGCTTTTAATTTTGATCTGATTGGTGGCACAATTTCTTTCCAGCTGCTCAATTTCAGGGGGCTAGGCTGGGGCCAGAGGGGCTGAGAAGGGTCTCTCTGTGCCTGCAGTGACCTAGAGAAGTCAGTGGAGAAGATCCAGAGGGATGTGGCCCATAACCACCGGCTGGTACCTGGTCCTGAGCTGGAAGAGAAGGCGCTGGTGCTGAAGCAGCTTGGGGAGACGCTAACAGAGCTCAAGGGTGAGCCTGCCTTGTCAAGGGTGACCACAAGGGCTTCCCTGCCGTGCTCCTCGTAGTGTGCCAACTCCTGGGTGCTCCTCCCCAGCCAGCTTACTCCTCCTGCCCTCTCAGCTCATTTCCCAGGCCTGCAGAGTAAGATGCGCGTCGTGCTGCGTGTAGAGGTGGAGGCAGTGAAGTTCCTGAAGGAGGAGCCTCAGCGCCTCGATGGACTTCTTAAGCGCTGCCGGGGGGTCACTGACACGCTGGCCCAGATCCGCAGGTCATTCTCTCCTTTGTCTTTACCTTCCCATGGGGTTACACACTGGCCCAGACCCATGGGAACACCTGGCCCCTTATTCTGACTCCTCAGAGGTCACTCTGTGCCAGTTAGAGCTCTTCAACTCTGACCTATGACCCCTGCATGCAAATGCTTTCCCTCAATGCCTTCCTAGGCTCTCCCATCTTCTTCTGCAAGATCCCAGAGCCTCTCTCACATCTGCAGGTTCCCCTGCAGGGGCTTCCATCTCTCACTTGCTGCTTCTAACTCTCCCAACCCTAGGCAAGTGGATGAGGGTGTGTGGCCACCCCCCAACAATCTCCTGAACCAGTCTCCCAAGAAAGTGGCAGCTGAAACAGACTTCAGCAAAGGCTTGGACTTTGAAATACCACCCCCCAGTCCTCCACTGAATCTCCATGAGCTGAGTGGGCCTGCTGAAGGAGCTCCTCTTACCCCAAAGAGCAGTAACCCCACCAAAGGCCTGGATGCTCCCGGCAAGAGAAGCGCGGACAAAGCTGTGTCTGTTGAGGTGATGGACCAGGGCGGGTTACAAACTAGGCTCACAATTCTTGCTGTCACCTGGAATGGCAGGTACTGAAGGGACTTAGGAGGAGGACCAGGAGTCTGAAAAGCACAATATTGGTGACATTTACCCATCTCGACAGAAAGTATACTATAAAGTGATAATAATTAAAGCAATATGGTGCTTGTATAAACACATACTGGGTGGTCAACGAAACAGAATAGAATGTCCAGAAATAGACCTAATAATGTATTTAATAAAAGTGATCTCTCTAAGCTACAGGGACAATGTTTAACACCCAGTAGGAGGAGCTAAATCTCCATGAAGTTCTTGTTCTTAGCTCATGTGGCCCGGGGAAGGGGCTGATTGGCAGAGCTCAGGGGGTCATGGGCAGGAGCCCTGACACCAGTTCTGCTTCCTCTCTCAAGGCTGCAGAGAGAGACTGGGAGGAGAAGCGGGCAGCCCTGACCCAGTACAGTGCCAAGGACATCAACCGGCTGCTGGAGGAGACACAGGCTGAGCTGCTCAAGGCCATCCCTGACCTGGACTGTGCCAGCAAAGCCCACCCAGGACCCGCCCCCACCCCAGACCACAAGCCCCCCAAGGCACCCCATGGTCAGAAGGCAGCCCCCCGGACAGAGCCCAGTGGGAGAAGAGGTTCAGGTATGGGGATGTAAGGCCCATTCTCAGAGCTTGACTTGTAGGGGATGCATGGCAGTGAGTCATGGTAGCCGGGCTGCCAGAGAAAAGGGGTGCTAGCTATTAGCAATCACAGGAGGGACCGGGATACAGAAGGACAGGGTGAGCTGGGGTCCATCCAATTTTCTCCCCGCTCTGAGGGCAATGCAGTGCTGACCTGTATGCCAGGGCCCTGACATCCCACGCCTGCAGGATGGTGGGGAGGCACCACCTGAAGGAGAGGTACGGCCATCATTGGTTCATGCATTTCTTCCAGCGACCCTGACTTGGAAAGGTGCTTCAGAGAGCTCAGAATTTATTTTTCTGTTTTTATGTGTGTGGGTATTTTGCCTGTATGTATATCTGGGCATCACGTGTGTGCCTGGTGCCTGAGGAGGTACGAGAGTGTTGGATCCCCTAGAATGGGAGTTTCAGCTGGCTTTGAGCCACCACGTGGGTGCTAGGAATCAAACCTGGTCTTGGAGATCTGCCAGTGCTCTTAATTACTGAGTCATTTCTCCAGCCTCAGAATTTTTTTTATTTAAAAAATTTTTAATTATCTTATTATTTGTGTGTGTGTGTGTGAAAGTGTATACATGTCAGGGGACCACTTGTGGGAATTAATACTTTTCTTCCACTGTGGGATCATGGGATCAAATTCAGGTCACCAGGTTTGTACAGCAGGCACCTTTAACCTCTGAGCCATCTCTACAGGCTGTGCTTAGGATTTAATGGTGTGACAGACTGTGACATTTGTTGGGCACTGACTACCCGATGCCTTCTGGGTGCAGCAGTTGAAGAAGGCAGACACAGTTAATCCCTCCTTACAAAGAGGACAGATTCCAAATGGTTACATAATCTGTCCTGGGCCACCCTTAATGCATCCCTAGCACAAAGGGGCTAAGTGCGGCTCCTGAGCCGGCCTGGAACTGTACAGTCCTAGAAGAAAAGAGAATGCTTTGCAGTGGAGCCTTAGGAATGAGCAGGCACGTCCCCTCCGATGAGCGCACCTTCGGGGGACAGAGTGGCAAGTGCAGGGAGATGCTGCTGGGTTGGAGCAGGGTCCAGAGCTGTCCAGAGCTGGGCCTTAATGCAGAACAAGGCTGAGAGCTTGTGGAAGGTGCTTGGCTAGGAACTCAGACTATTTGGGTTGATGTAGTCATGGGAGAATGAAAGGCAAGGGTGTTATGGTTTGAGTGACCTTTTAGCGGTTGCCATGGAAACCAGGCTGGAGGAAGAGGGATGGGAGCGGGACCAAGCACCTCAGAGAAAGGATGAAGCTGAGTCTGGTAGGGCTGAGGGACAGCTGTGGCCACGAGGCAGCTCAGAATGGCACAAAAGTCCCAGGCTTGAGTGTGGCCTTGAACCTCTGGTGATGTTAGGATGTCCATGCTGGATCAGCAACTCAGTGCCAAGGTGCCACAGTCTTCCTGGTTCCCTGACAATCCTGAGCAGCTGAGTGCCATCAGAGGAAGTGGGGCTGGGTGAGTGGCTGAGCCGGTGGCAGGCGTAGGAAAGTGGAAAGAGAGGCGTCCTGCCTTCCTCTCCCCTGGGCTGTCCTCTTGGTCATTCCTGGAGGAACGGGCCCTTGTGCACACTGTTGTGGTGGGTCCCTGACCCCGGGTCCCCGCTGCTTGCAGATGAGCTCACGGTGCCCAGATACCGCACAGAGAAGCCCTCCAAGTCGCCCCCGCCACCCCCTCCCCGCCGGAGTTTCCCTTCCTCCCACGGCCTGACCACCACACGCACCGGAGAGGTGGTGGTCACCAGCAAGAAAGACTCAGCCTTCATCAAGGTACACCCCAATTGGTGGGGTTCAGGGGTATCTTAAGGGGAAGCTTGAGAGGGTGGAAGTCAGGCAGAACAACCCAACCTGACATCTAGCTTGGATTCTAGGACCGTGTGTTCTAAGCCCACAGCCAGCTCTGGTAGGGACAAGGGTGGGTCTTCCTGCCAGGGAACTGGTGGAACTAGGGTGTGGTGAGCCACTGCAGGAGGGAGGGAAGGACCTAGGCTTGATAAGATATGGGGGCTTTACAGAAGGCTGAGTCCGAGGAGCTGGAGGTCCAGAAGCCCCAGGTGAAGCTCCGCCGGGCCGTGTCTGAGGTGGCCCGCCCTGCCTCCACACCACCCATCATGGCCTCTGCCATCAAGGATGAAGATGATGAGGAACGCATCATTGCTGAACTGGAGGTGGGTCAGGCGTGACTGAACGAGGCCTCTGCCAGGCTAAGTTCCTTGCCAAGCCTTCCTCAGGGCTGGGCAGCAGGTCCTGGGCAGGCAGAAGAATGCCAGCCCTAGGACCCAATCTGCTTAGCTTCCGTTTCTTCTCCGCTGGGAAATGGAAGGAGACAGTCTAAAGTTCCTCCTGGTAGGTCTGAGTTTTCGTTATACTCTCTCAGATTCCTCCCCCCCACCCCCGCCAGGACCCAAAGACCCACTCCACTCTGAAAGTCCCAGACCTGAATATTCCGAGCTTACCGAGACCCTACCCAAGCGATCTTGAGGACAGCTCATGCTCCAAAACCCCTCATGCCTTAGTGTTCTGGGCCCAGAATCTTGGAGACCCTTGTGCCAAAGGGCCTAGCGTTACTACAAGTCACTGCTTATAGGGGTCTCAGAGATCTTTGCCCACCGCCAGAGTCCCTGACTGTCAAGGCCCTGTGGTGGCCTGAGAGTCGAGTCCCAGTGGGTCAGTGGCCATGGTGAGGTGCCAGGGGGTGAGACTAGGGCCCATGCCATCCTGGGCCACCCTCCATAGGTGCCTAGGTACTCAGCCAGCTCCTGGGTCCTCACTGGGGTCCCATCCTCCAAACCTGCCCCTGCCTTCTGCTCCCCAGGTCTTTGAAAGAAGTTCAGTATCTTCCCTTCCCCCTACGCCCCGTCGCCAGCTGATCCCCACCTTGCTGTCCCCCCAGGACCTGGGGTCCCCTGGGGGCTCAGCTCTGGGCTCCCCATGGAAGGTAACAGGCCTCTCAGGCCTCCCCGCACCTCTCACGGCTCTCTCTGCCTGTTCCTCCACAGCTTCCTTTTCCGCACTTCTCACGCTAACCCGCTAACACGCCATGCACACCAGCCTCTCTGCCACTGCCCCAGCTTCACGCCCGTGGACTCACCCTCCCGCACACGCCAAGGGCAGCACGCACCCGCACAACTTGTCCCTCCCTGAGGTTTCCCAGGGGGGTCTCCCTGGGAGACTGCAGCCTGGTTGTTCGGTGTGACCCTTGAACTCTCTGCAGACCTGATTCTCTCTGGCCCTCAGATGCCTTGTTCCCATTTACAGCCTGAATTAAGGCTGTGTCCAAAGCCTGTGACTTGTCCTGGACCAAGATTGGAATTTGGATCTTGTTCAGGAAGTGACTTAGAGTCCAACTCGATTTGACCTTGTCCTGAGACCTCACCTGGTTCCTTCCTTATGCCCTGCTCTGCTGCCCATGCCAGGGAAGGCATGTGCTTCTCCCGCTGAAATCTATGCCTTGCACTGGGGCGGGGGTGGGGAGGAGGGTCAGGATGGAAGGGAGAGGGAGATGGCTTCCCTAAGTCTCTCCCTGCCCCATGGCCATTCTTGCTGCCTTGGTCAGGGGACTTGGTGAGAGAAGCCCATGGCCTTCCTTGGCTGCTGGTTTTCTCTTCCAGCCTTGGGAAGTTCTCCTTCTCTTAAACTTCAGCCCTCGCTGCTCTCCCGCTGCACCTTGTTTCCCCTTGGGGTTGTGGGGGTGGGGCTGCTGTCTGCACCCCAGGGACTGTGCTCCAGGAGGAGGGTGGGGAAAGGTCTGGGAAGGTCTCCCTCTGCCCAGTTAAGTTGGGGTAAGAGGACCTCTGTCCTCAACTTCCTGCACCCACACCCTTCCCTTCCTTGTGTGGTTTTTCCCAGCCCACAATGGGGTTCATGGTGGCCGCCACCAGCCTTGTGGCTTGACTTGAGGACTGGTGGCCTTTGACTTTCTGTCAGGGGTGCAGACAGGCATCAGAAGGTGGACAGTGCTGTCTGCCATCTGTCCCAGGAGTCCTCAGGGGCTGAGCAGTGTGAGAGGGCCACTTCCTGACTGGTTTTGTCCTCAGCACCCAGCTCTGTCCCTTTCTGGTTCTGGGACTCAGTCATGAGGGGACCCAGCAGGCAAGCCCCCTTCCCTGGCTGCCTGTCTGTCTGCATCCTGAGGCGCGGTCAGGCAGAGGAGCCTGACGAATGGGGGGGCCCTCTCTGCCTTCCCTGTGTGCACCCTACTTTCAGGTAAGCAGTGGCAGGGCTGGATGGGTTATCTTGGGAGGGGTAGAAGCGGTCTCCTCACAGCGTGTTTAGTGAAAAGAGCACTGAGCTTGTACCTAGGCTGTCTGAGTTCAAATCCTGGCTCTACCATTAACTTGCCAAGGATTGGACAAGGCATAAGTCATAATGCTCCTGACCTGTGAAGCTGGGACAGGGAGAGTGACAGTCATTTCATGGGTTACAGAAAGCATTGAAGATGAAGACATAGGCCATAGTGTCTGAGATGGGCTGGTACTTAGAGTTAGGGCAGAATTCACTCAGGTTCACAAGGTTCCCGGAGGCCCCTGGGTCTAGTCCAGAACCATAGCCAAGGAGCTCATGGAGAAACAGGTACCTAACTGGAGCATTGCCCAGTGTGTGAGACCAAGGAACTGGCCATGCCCAAGCTCCTCTCCTTTAAGTTCGCTGGGGGTGACCTCATGGGTGTGAGTGCAGAGCCCAAGTTGAGGAAGATGGCCCAAACCTTGAGGTGAAGGCCAGTGTCCACTCTCTGCTCATGCTGAGGAAGGTCTCGATTGTTTGGGTCAATTTAACCAGTAGCTTGTATTTGCTCAAATGATGCCAGGCACTTAATTAGGATGTCCTCATGGACTCATTTAATTTGCTGCACACCCCATGTTACTATCCCATCGTGAGTGGGACGAAGCCTGAGATTTGCTCCCAAGTTTACCACAGTGATGGGAAAGGGACACAGCCCCATGCTTCTGCAGCTGACATTGACAGCAGGAAGCAGGGGTCCATGGCTATGCAGGAAGGAAAGACACCTGTACTCAAGGCTCAGCTTTGCCTCCAGTCTATTGGGTGACATCATCAGGACTTTCCCTGACTCAGTTTCCCTATCTGGGAGAGGAAGGAAGTGAGCGCACCCCAGCTCAAGATTCAGTCTGCAGGGATCACAATCCTTCTCGTCTTCTGTCCCCTCAGGCTGCCTCAGATCCCAGGGTTCTCTGTATCCCTCAGATCATCTTGACAGAATGCACTTCCGGCTCTCCCTCTCTGCCAGAGAGCCCCAGGACAGTCCCCACACCAAGACCCCGGACCTTGGCCGGCAGCAGAAGGGCTTGCCATGGCCCACAGGCCTTGCTGGGACTAGCTGCTGAGGTACTCTGGCCCCGGAGCGGCTCACTGTCCAGAAAGGAGCCAACAGTTCTACAGAGCCCACACAATGCAGAAGCCGGAGTTCTCAGTCTTTGGGTGCCATCGCTAGATGAGACTCGGAAACCGTCTACTGCTGAGACCCACTCAGAGGAGACCCCTCAAAACTCTGAATGTGACAGTCAAGCTTGCAATAGAGGACAAGAGGCTGTCGGCTCAGGCCACCCAGTACAGGATGCTACCCCACTGCGTATGGACAGTCTGGAGGAGACGCTCCAGGAGCTAGAAGCCACCCTGAGCGAGATGGGCGCCAACGTGACTATGACGTGTCCAAGCAGCCCCCAGTCCCCACACTCATCCCCTCAGGTGGCTGCCTCCCCCTTCTCTCCCGCTGCCTTCCTGCTCCAGTCTCTGGGCCTGCAGAGTGGAGAGAGTGGGGCCACGGAAGCTCGGCCTGCCTCCATCGTCCCCACTGTCTTTGTTTCAGCCTACCTCCCTCTGGGAGCCCTGTTTCCAGGCCAGGGCCTATGGGCAGAGCCAGGGGCGGCCGGGAAGCCGGCTCACCCAGGACTCAGCTCTGCTGTTTGGGCATGAATCAGGTGGGCTCTGGCCTTGCCTGCTCTCTGTGAACCAGGGAATAAAGCTTTCTCCTCTCTCCACCCCTTCCTCCCCCTCCTGGCTCTGACTCTTTCTGTCACTGTCACTTCACTGATCGGCGGCGCCTCTGGGTCCCCAGAGCCTCCCTGGGAAGGGCTGTTCCATGGGGGAGGGCCATGGGGCCAGACGTGCCCATTTATGGGGTGAAATCTCACCTCTTGCCTTCTGCTCTAGGGGTGGTATGGACCTGGGGATGCTCTTTTATTAGAGACCCCCCAATTCCAACTGTCTCCTGGGACCAGGAAGGTGTCCTTGGCTGGGAGTTGAGTGGTACTGGGGCCTTCCCTGTAAAAGTGGCCTCCTAGGAGGGTACCAGCTGCCCCTGGGACATTCAGGAAAGTCACACATGAGCTCTAACAAGCCTGATCATCTCCTCCAGGGAGGCCTTGAACCTGGGCTCAGAGGGACTTAAGTCTTGGATGCTTATGGGGAGTCAGCGCGGGGTCTCCAGGCATCCAAGGGCCTCCCTGAGGAGGTCCTAACCCCAGAGACTTCACCCAGTGCTTAGGGCTCCGTGCAGAACGGTCCCACCTCAGCCCTCTCTCTCTTTCCACAGAGTGGTGGTGGCACCGTGCCACCCATGAAGGTGGTGACTCCTGGAGCCTCTCGACTGAAGGCAACCCAGGGCCCAGCAGGCAGCCCCGACAAAGGCAAACACAGCAAGCAAAGGGCGGAGTACATGAGGATCCAGGCCCAGCAGCAGGTGAGGGTGGGATCTGGGACACCCAGGCCCCTGGAGGGTCATACACCAAGCCTCTACTATGTGCCCCTGTTCCAGTGATGGTTTCAGTTACTGTGGGTCTCTCCCTGTCATGACGTCCTCCATCTTGTTCCTCCTTGCAGCCCCGGCGCTTTGGATCTGGTATAGACGTGAGTCCCTGAGTTCACAGCCAGTTTCCTGCTCCAGGACAGAGGAGCCTCGCTCCCTGCCTGTGCAGCGTCAGCCCTGTGCAGATTTTATTCCCTTCCTTAGTGGCTGGGTAACTTCTAAAGCCAGTCCGTACCACAGCCATCTTCCCCTCCTGCCTGTCTTTGCCTCTGGGCATGCTCGCACCTGCTCTGCACCTTTCATTCCATCCTCAGCTCAGGAAGAAGCTGCGTTTGCCCCCGCATTTGAGTCCCAGGTTGGTGGGCTCAGCTCACCTTTGGAAGGCAGAAGAGGTGTGGTAGAAATCCTGCAGGGGCAACAGCCCCTTGGGGTTCCATTTGTAGGTTTGGATTTGATAGACTTTGCCCATGGTGCTTGTGACCCTGGAGCCTGCTTGTGTGGTCTGCCTGGTCGGAGAGTGAAGGAGGCCCTGGATGTAGCTGTAGAGAGCCCTTCAGCGCGCTTGCTCAATTCAGAACCTCTCCTGAGTGCTTCTTACGTGCCAGGCCTGTTTGAAGTCCCAGGAAGGTCTTATTCTGTCCAGATGGAGACCCTAAACTCGGAAGTAGAAGATTAGGGATGGCCAAGGCTGGCTGTGAGGTTCAGCCTATAGCAAAAGAAAGACCTGCATAGCAAATAACGTTAGAACCAAGACTGACCTAGCTACAGGCCCCAGATAACCCTGGTACACAAGCCCTTATCTACCTGCTGCCTGCTAGGAAGACAGGTGTTCAGTCCTCCCTAGACCTCTCCATAGTGTGGTGCAAAGCCGCCAAGGGCCATGCGGGCTTTCTCTCTCTCACTACCCCAGGTTGTGTGGCTGTCTAGTCATCCTCCATATCTATGCCACTGCAGACTCTGCCTGGGTTGGTATTTCCCACCCCAGCTCTCCCATCCGCCCTCCCTGGTTCCTTTGTGAGCCTTGAAAGCTTGTTGGAAGGTTTGAGCCAGAGAGTACATCTGCTTGTATGCCCTTGGTCCGAGGATGCTCTTTTATGGAGGAAAAGCTACTGGAGGAGGTTTGTCCTCTTGGATCAACCATGCAGCCTTGGGAGGGAGGGATACGGAGCTGTGAGGAAGGACGGACACCCACCTAGCCAGATAGCCAATGAGATGACAGATGTCACAGATAGGTCTCTGTCCTGTACCTGTTCCTGCTTTATTCTGCCTGCCTTGGCCACTGTGGCGGGCTCCTCCCCTCCACCCCTTCTCTATCAGTGTCTCCAGCTCCTCCATTGTCTAGTGACACATCTCTCTAACCTGTGTCTTCCCCAGTTGTCCCCTCAGAGCCACCACCCAGTTCCCAAACCCCACCAAATCCAGCTGCTGGATGCCACTGGTCCCTTCCTGCCCCTCTCCACTCAGGCCTGGGCCTCTGTCCCACCCTGCTGACCTTTGCCAGCCGTTCCTGTCACTCGTGTTGTGCCCGGGTCTGCCCTTTCGAAACGTTGCTTTCTGACAAAGTAATAGATATTTCTTAGGAAAAATTTTAAATAAAGGCAGCAATAAGGAAGCAGTGTGGTCTAGCAGCAGGTGCTGCCATGGACCCCGGGTCCAGAAGTGTCCTGCTTCTCCCAGAGGAAAGCTGAATCTGAGGCTTCTGTCTGTCACCGAGGTTCTGCTTCTTTTAACAAAATCAAGACCCATGGGTGTAGGAAGGGGCTGGAGAGATGACTCAGTGGTTAGGAGCAATTGCTACTCTCACTGAGGACCCAGGTTCAATTCCCAGCGCCCACACATTGGCTCATGACCATCTGTAGCTCCAGTTGCAGGGGTTCTGGTGCCTTCTGCTGAACTTCATGGGCACCAGGAATGGATATGGTACACAAACATACATGCAGGCAAAACATACATACACATAAAATAAAAATAATAAATCTTAAAAAAAAAACCTCACAGGAGACCATTGGCAGGTGCCATGAATGTGGCAGAAACCCTCAGAGACCCGGTAACTCCGAGCAGCATAGAGTTGCCAAGCAACCTGTTCCCTTTGCTTTAGTGGATCTTGGATGGAGTTGCAGCCAGTGTATCCCCAGATGGAAGCTGGCTCTTGAGAACTCCATAAAACATGAAATCACAGATGGTCTCCATGAGGAGGTACTGGGGAGACATCCCCATAAATGTGTGAATGCAGCCGGGCAATGGTAGCGCACACCTTTAATCCCAGTACTTGGATGGCAGAGGCAGGTGGCTCGCTGTGAGTTTGAGGCCAGCCTGGTCTAGAGGGCCTCTGCTTCCCAAGTGCTGGAGTTAAAGGTGTGCATCACGGCCACCTGGCTTAATTTTTTTATTAATGTGCATGTGTGTGAGCCTGAGTCAGTTTGTATGTACCTGTGAGCCACTTGTATGCAGGAACTCATGGATGCCAGAAAAGGGCGTTAGAACCCCTCAGGCTAGAGTTCCCAGCCCTCAGGTCCTCGGCAGGAGCAGAAGCACTCTTAGCCTTTGAGCGGCAGCTCCAGCTCGGAGTTGGAACTTTTAAGTGGGGGACACGAAGGCAGAAGTGGGGACGGGGCAGAACCCAGCCCAAGGCAATTGGAAGAGAGCCCTTAGGTGCCTGTTTTGAGTTTGTTCCAAGGCCCAGGACGGTCCAGTCACACCTGGCCCTGGGCAATAGACAAAGAATGCCGTGGGGTAGGACCCTGACGGACGGTGAGGGCCACAGCAGAGGATCCACTGCTGAATCCACAGCTTGCTTTGATTCTCCCGAAGGGGAAGGGAAGTCTTGGCTACCAGCTGACACTTTGGTAAAGCCTGTATGAGTCACTGGCGGACCACTTGTATGCCTGCCGAAGAGACCACAGTTACCAGCAGTGGGGCGACCTCCTGCTTTCCTCTGAGGTAGATGGTAGCATCGTCGTCCCCCCACACACACACCCCGGGGTACTTGGGAGAGCCGTCTAGCAGCTGGGTGGCTCCGTAGGTCTTTAGGGGAGAACAGGCCTAGCATTGATCTCGGAAGCCTCAGGCAGGTCACTGGAGTGTGCCACACAATCCTCTTCACTCCTTTTCCTTACAGTGACTTTTGTTGCTGGTTTGGTTTGTTGCGATGGTCTCACTATGTAGCCCAGACTGGGTTGTAATTTTCTAAGTTCTTGCCGTAGCCTTGTGTTTTTTTTTCCTTTCGAGACAGGGTTTCTTTGTGTAGCCTTCGCTGTCCTGGAACTCGCTCTGTAGCCCAGGCTAGCTAGCTCGGATTTACAGAGATCTGCCTGCTCTGCCTCCTGAGTTCTGGGATTAAAGGTGTGTGCAGCTACTAGCACCGGTTTTTGTTGTTTTTTTTTTTTTTGTTGTTGTTTTTTTTCTTTATCAAGGCCTGGTAGATAAATTCCAGGTGAGTCATTGGATTCAGTCACAGGATTCCAGCAATCCGGTCTGTGTCACCCTCACCCAGCTCAAAATGCACATTTCCACCTCAAAGTGGAGATGATCCTGGAAGGAAGGGGCCCCAGGAATCTGCATCTGCGACACATGCCATGGATTGTCCTTTGGAGATGATGCAGGTGGCTCTTAAACCCTACTTGAGAGACCATGACTCCAAAGGACAAGCCCGGGATCAATAGAGAAGTGAGGAGGGTGTATGTATGTGTGTGCATGTGCACACAGGGCCTTCTGACTGGGAGAGCGAGCCTGGAGCATAGCCTGGTCTCCAGCCACTGTTAGGACCACTCAGAGCTGGGGCCGCGGACAGGGAGGGCTACAGTGGGGAGTCTGGGCTGGCGGGGGTGGTAGTGGTGGTGGTGGTGGCAGAATGCCTCCTCAGAGTTTCCAGGTGGGGCTAGCTCACCCCTGCTTACACCAGGGGCCTCCCACCCAGGCCAGAGGTGGCACCTGAGCTGGGCTGAGCTACTGACCCCCATCTGCTGGCTTCACCCCTGTTGCTGCTAACCTTTTACTTCTTTTCCCTCCCTTTCCCACCCTCCCGTCCCTCGTCCCCTCTGCCTGGGTTTCTCTGGCATCTCCTCTGTCTTCTGTCTTTCCTCTCAGTAACCATGGACTGAAGCCACCCCTACACTGGTTTCCGGGCCTTTGATCCAACCCCATGCCTCCCTCCCCCTTCTTTCTGCCCCCCCAGACACTTCCCCACCCTGTCCCCCCAGTTCAGAGGACCACTCTCTCCAGAAGTCCCCTCTCGTTTCTCGCTTTCGCAGTTCATTTTCTCTTGGACTTGTGGGATTTTTCCACTTCTCAACACTTCAGCCAGGAGCCAGCATGGAGGCTCTCCTTTGCTCTCTCTGACCCCTGACCCCTGTTTTTGTTCCAGGCCACTAAACCATCTAAAGAAATGAGCGGGTCGAATGAGACCTCGAGCCCAGTCTCAGAAAAGCCCTCTGGTTCCAGAACCTCCATCCCCGTATTGACTTCCTTTGGGGCAAGGAATTCTTCCATCTCCTTCTAGAAGCCCTCATACCACCACCCGGCCTGCCCCTCCCTCCCTCCTGCCATTGTTCCCTGCTTCCTTTCATGCCCACTCTACCCTCCCCACTCTCACCCCTGAAGGGTTTTGGGGCCATGGCCCTCAGCTCTCTCATCCCCTCTTGGTGTTTTTGGTTTTTTAAGTGATTCTCTTTTAATGATCTTTTCTTTTCTTTTTCTTTTTTTTTTCTTTTTAAAGAGCAAAAGAGAAAACTAAAAACCAAACACACCGACTTTCCTTGACTTCCTGTTTCCTAACGGGGAGGGGGGCCCCCTCGGCCTACTTCCTGTCATCTTCTCTCCCTCTGCTCTCTCACCCTATTCCTCCTAAGTCCATCCAACGTTCCCACCTCCCCTAACTTCCCAAGAACACTTGGAACCAACTCTGAGCCACGGAGACTTGTTGCAGCGGAGAGAGACCCTCCTCCCGTTACTGGGTTCCTTCCTGGAGGAACAAACGGACATGGACAGACCCAGCATCAGACTGGACGATGGACCAGGGCGACAGACCCTGGCCTGGGAGACGCCCCATTGCCTGTCCAGCCTTCGAAGAAACAGACCTCTGCTGCTGGCCTGCGGTTTCCTCTTGAACCAGGGTGGGCCTGTAGGCAGGCCTGCAGGATGGGATTGTCAGAGAAGAGGCCATGGCTGGGAAGGGGCACTTGGTGCGAGGGGAGGAGCTGGCTCACTGTTGCTCAGTGTCTGGCTGGTGCTAGCTAAGGACAGAAGGAGCCCCCCTGTTCTGGTGGGAGCCCCCCTGTTCTGGTGGGTTGCTCCTGTGTTCTGTCTGCCCCTGGGGCTCTGCCTTGGGAGAGGGCAACCCTGAACAGGGCACTTGGTAACTTTTAGTTTCCTAATTTAGCACTTTAAATGCCATTAACTTATTTTATGGGGGTGGGGTGGGCAAGGTGGAAGGGCCTAGAAACGTCTAGAGGGGGGATAGGGTCTGGTTGTGAGGGAAATAGGGAGAAGGGGGGGTGGGTGCAGTAAAGACTGACCCTTAGCTGGGGGCAACGTGACCTTCAGCCAGCCTTTATGATTTGAGGGTTTTCAGGGAAGGGGTGAGATGTGATTTGCCTATGGGGATCTGGTGACCACTATGAGGTGTTTGAGGGTCCCCAAGGCAGAGCCACCAGCTAGTATTCCAGTCTATGGATACCTTGTAGGGGTCCTGAACAGGGCAGACTGGCTTTTGGGTGAACCCTGGAGGCAAAGGGAGAGGCTGGTTGGTCCTGGCCTGGTCCCCAGCAGGCACAGAGGGGCCAGAGCAAGGAGGGCTGGAGGGAGCACAAAGTAGAGTAAGCACAGAGGTGTGGTCTTGAGACTTATCACCTGGTAAGCACAGGAAGGAACTGTTGAAGGGACGGAGCCCAAGACCCTGAAGCCTGGCAGGGGAGGCCAGTGGCAGCTGTTGAGTTTGGGGAGGGAGGGAAAACTGGGTTCTGTTTCTTTTCTTTTTTTTAATTTCTGCTTTTGTTTTGTTGGTTCATCCTTGTTTTCTAGCTTTGATCATTTTTGTACCAAGGCAAGCAAGCCTTTTTGAAAAATAACAAAAGAAGAAGAAAAAAAATCCCTCCCAGAAAAAAAAGACAAAAATAAAATTAAAAAAAACAAAAAAACACAAAAAACAAAAAAGAAAACAAACAAAAAAAAAACCCTAGAAAATGGGGGGAAAAAAAAGGGACCTCACAATGATGCAATTACTTTTAATTGCAAGCAACTCTTTACATTTAAGTGAAGTGTCTTAACATTTTATATTGTTTTAAAAATATATTTACATATTATATATATATATAATATACGTAATATAAATATATATAAATATTTAAAAAAGAAAAAAAAAGAAAACCACAGCGCACTCTCCCTGGCTGCTGTCTGGCAGGGGAGGGAGCTGGGGACAGGCTGTGGCCTGGCTTCTGTAGTGGTGAAGCAGTTTGGTTTGATTTGGCTGTACAGAGACCCCTGGCTTGGGAGGGGAGGGGGAGGGGCCCCTCCACTCCATTTCTCTTTGCTTGCTACTCTTTGCTTGCCCCCACACCCCCTCAGCCCTGTGACCTGAATGTGCACCCCTCCGTCATTGTCCTGAGTTGAGTGTCCTTTGTGGAAGGAGGGGGAGCTGGGACAAGTGACCATTCATACAGGGCTGCCCAGGCTCTCAGGCAGGGTCTGTGGGATTTACATAGTTCTTCGCTTTGGTTCCCGCACATGTGTGTGCTGGGAGGCAGTTGTATGGGATTGTGTGCAGCCTGCGTGTGTGCACATTGGCACAAGCCCACATAACTTCTATCTGTGCACATGCGTGGAGCGTGTGTACATAGGCAAAACTTATATTGTATGTGTGAAGCTGTGTACATGTATATGAGCATAACCTGCCTGGGTGTCAGCATGATTGTGTGAAAGGAACCTTGGGAGGAAGGTGTAATGTGTGTACGGACATGCCTGGCTACTCGTGTGAGGACCGTATACGGATGGGTAGAGATAACATGAGCTGTGGGTATGGCTGTGTTCCGGTGCAGGCAGGTGTGTGAGAGGGCCTCTTCGTGTGTCAGTGTGCGTGTGCACGTGTGTGCTCCATCATCCTGCACCACTCGCCCAGCTCCCCTCCTGAGGCCTCCCTCCCCACACCTTCTCAAAGCCCACAGCACGTCAATGCCCCCTCAGCTGCATGCGCCTCGCCGCTCTGTCCATCAGTGTGTGCTTGACAAGAGAAACTGCCACATTGGGGGACCCTGTACCCGGTCTCCTCACCCTTGCCCGCTGTGCTGTATTACTGCCATATTGGGGGACCCTGTACCCGGTTCCCTCACCCCTTCCCACTGTGCTGTGTTACCCGCATGGGGGGTTCTCTTCGGCCCCTTCCACAATATACTGTTTCCCTAGGGGCCTCAGGGCCAAGGCTTTAGTGGGGTCCCAAGTGGGGCCCCCAAGGTCCGCCTGGCTCCACGCCCACTCCATCCACCCCGTAGGGCCTGTGTCGGTGTAGCAGTGATGGCTTCTGTGGACATTCTGTGACCTGTCAGTGTAACTTGGCAATTTCTAAATGGAAAGGGTTGCTGTGTTTTCTGTCTCTTTTTTAATGTCCTTCTTTCTCCCCTGCCTCCCTGCTTTCTTCCCTTCCCTTCTGGTTTTTCTAGCCGAGTGTTGGGGCTTTAATAAAACTTGTTTCTTTTTTTCTCTCCTGGATCTTCTTCCTCTGGGCTTCTGCCTCGTTATTTCTTTTCTTTATCTTCATGGGCCTGGAAAAAATTGGGGTGGCTAGCAGAGGGGTGGGGGCCCCCTGAAGCCAGCATGGCCATGGCACGGAGAAAGGACAGACAGGACAGGAGTCATAGGGCTGGCACCACCTAGGCCACATAGTCACTGATACCCCTGGGATACGGAAGAAGGAACCCACTAATTATTTGGACTTTCAAGGTAGGGTTTCTCTATGTAGTCCTAACTGTCCTGAAACTGGTTCTGCAGACCAGGATAACCTTGAACTCAGAGATCTCTGTTTCTGCCTCCTGTGTGCTGGGAGACATCACACCCTGCTAACCCCACTAATTCTGAAGAACCAGCTCCCACCTGCTGACACAGGAGAGGCCCCATCTAGTCCTCACGGCCACCAGTGAGGTGACAGCACCTGTGAGTGGCAGAGCCAGCACAGAGACACTGGGCATCTTTCCCGAGTCTCAGAACTAGCAGTCTGTAAACTCACAATTTGAATTCCGCTCCACTAGCCCCAGCAGCAGTGCTTGGAGGTGGACAGCCCCATGTGGGGCTTCAGCCTGTGGCCCTCTGGGAGGAATGACCATGTCATTTCTAGGACAGTCACTTTCAGACTTCTGGCACTAACAGGAACCCACACCTGAGACACAATGAAATGTACCTGCTACCCACAGTGCACAGAGAATGGGCAAAATGTCCTGCTCGGGGTTTTCAGGTACTAGAATCTAAAGGTCTTGCCATGGTTCCTGCATGTTCTGTCTTAGAGGTGTCCCCATATTCTGCTTGCCAAGGCCCAGAGTTACCAGATCTTTTCTGCCAGCCAGCCACTCCCCAGTTACCTCTGTCCCACGAGGTACAAAGGGTCCTGAAGCTACAAAACCGCAGCCCTTTAGGGAGCCGTTAACATCATTCTCCACTAAGGCTCACTAGCAAGCCAGAATTGAGAAACTGCTCACTGTTTACAGGGAACACTGCTTCATGAGTCACCTCTTGCCGTTGCCCCCAGAAGACCTCAGATGCCAATGCAGCCAGACCTCATTCTATGGAGAGGCTGTCCCTGTGTCCTAGGATGTCAGCAGGTCCTGTTGTCGGTTCCCCTTCACATTCCCGGGAAACAAGAGGTCAACCAACCTTCCCCTTTCCCCCTTCTTCCACTGGCAATTTAAAATGGAGAGCAAATAGAGCCATCACCCGCTTGCCAGAGATTATGCTGGGCACTCCCTCACCCTCGATGACCTCCCAATATCCCTGGCTACTGTGCCTAGGTGCTCCCAGGACTAAAACGCTAGCATCTGGCAGGGGAGCCAGCCAGCACACAGGCACGCACCTACAAACTGGCTGACAGCAAGCAATGGAACAAAGGGACAACCCTGTAACTATGGTGGCAACGAGCAATGTGGAGCTGCCAAGGATGACCAGGCCCTGAGGTCCCCTGTTCAGAGACCTTAAGTATGAGGAGTCGAAGAGCTGGGGAGTCGGCTCATGGGTGAAGTGTCTGCTCTACATGAAGGTTTGAGTTTGAATTCCCGCCACCCATATAAAAGCCAGGCATAGTGGTTCAGGCCTGTGACCTGAGGGCGAGAAGAGGGTGCTGGAAACAGATCCTCTGAGCTCACTGGCCAGCCACCTTATCCAATAGGTGAATTCCAGATCCAGTGAGACCCTGACTAAGAGGAAGACACCCGCTTCCGGCCTCTGTATATGTGTGAATGAGCACACACCTGTAACACTAACACACAACTTTAAAAAGTGAATCACTTCCCAATAAAGGTGAATCTCCATGAGTTTGAGGCCAGCCTGGTACACACAGCAAATACCAGACTGCCAGGGTTATATAGCGAGGTCTTCAAAAACAACCCAAAACAAAACAAGAGCAGTAACAAAGAGAGGAGTGGGGCTGGGAATGGGGAGCATGTCTGACATCCCAGCACTTGGAAAGTGGGAGCAGAAGGAATTGAAGTCAGACTGAGCTATGTTGTGAATCAGAGACCAGTCTGGGATAGATGAGACCCTGTCTCAAAATCAAACAAGAACTGAGAAGTGGCTTAGCAGGTAGAGGCGGAGCCCACCCACGTGGTGGAAGGATAGCACCACCTGCAGGCTGTCCTCTGACTGCCACATATGTACGGTGCCCCGCCCCAATACAATATGTAAATCAATAAATTAATAAAATGTACAAAAAGTGGGTAGTGTGCCTACACACCCAGCTGCTGGGGGTGGGGCATGCGTGCTGTCAGGAACTTAGTGTGATAGAGCCGGTCTGCATTATAGAGAGAGACCTTTTCCCAAATAAAGGAAACTCAGACAAGGCTCACACCTGTAATCCCCATACTTGATGCAGGTGGGTTACCTGGAGTTAGGAGCCTGGGTTATGGTGTGGGATTCTGTTTCAATAAAATCAACTGACTGACCAACCAGCCATTTAGATGAGTCACTTCGTGGAGGTGCTAACTGGAGTCCTAGGCAGGGCTGGAGGAGAAGCAGCCTCTGGGTTCTAGGAAATAAAATCCCAGTAGCTCCAGGCAGGGACAGTCAGGGAGATGGGCAGGGTCATGGGCCAGGAACAGGAAGCTGCCTGTCTTCTAGGAGCTGTGGCAAGTGATGGGGGGGGGATTTCTTACATTTTATTTTTAATTAAGTGTGTATGTTGGGGTGGGGAGAGGAGTGGAATACGCAAGTGAAGGTTCTTAGACTAGAAGAGGGACGGGTTGTGAGCTGCCTACGTGGGTGCTGGGAACCGAACGCTGGCCCTCTGCAAGAGCAAATACCCTCCAATAGGAAAGTGTCCACGGCCTGCCCAGTTGCTGCAGAGATGGCTTCTGTTGCAGCTTTCACAATTGTGGGTGACAATCCAGTGTCTTGGGAGAGGAGAATGGAGTGTCAGATTCTCGGCAGTGACACTAAGTAATGGTCCAGAATGAAACCCAAACGCCAGTGGGCGCTCTCCCTGACCCCTGGCCACTCATCTGACTGCTTTAGTTGGGCCAGATAACCATGATCCTGTCCTCACCGATGCCAGAAAAGTGGTGGGTGTGGGTGGGTGTATGCACATAGGGGGGGCACCCTCAACACTAACAGAATTGGAGTTTTTCTTCCTCTTTATTTTTGATTTTAAGAGACAGGGTTTCTCTGTTTAACAGAGCCCCACCTGTCCCTGAACTCGCTCTGTACATCAGGCTGCCCTAGAACTCAGAGATCCACCTGCCTCTGCCTCCCGAGTGCTGGGATTAAAGGCGTGCACTACCATGCCTGGCAGAATTGGTGTTTTTCTGAGAAACATTTTCCAAGAAACAGCAAACCTTATGGGTTGGGGATCAAGGTTGGAGTGCAGCTCGCATGTCCAGTCTTTGTGTTTTTATTCAGGTACATTTCACAGGTCGTGAAATTGGCCCTTGCCGTCAACAGGTCAGTGGCTTTAGCGTTTGCGGATGCACAGCCAGCACCACACTGTCATTGTAGAGTATTTCCAACGCCTGCCAAAACTCTGACCCTCCAGCTGTCGTTACCCATTTCAGCTTCTTCCTCTGTGGCACCCCATTCCTAGGGAATTACTCATCTCCTTCCCCTGTGTGGACCCCCCCCCAACTTTCCCCATGGATGGAATCACACAGCAGCTTGGCACCTTTTCCAGCACCATGCTGGTAAAGCAAGCATCAGAACTTCCTTTTCCAGCCAAGCTCTTCTCTGCCGTGTACATTCTCCATCTTTTTGTGTGTATCTGTCCATCGTTAGGTCCTTGGTACATGAATATTCAGGTAACTAGTGTGTGTGTGTGTGTGTGTGTGTGTGTGTGTGTCTGGCAGCAGACATGTGTCCCCAGGGTCTGTGTGGAGGTCAGAGAACAACTTGAGGGGCTAAATTCCTTCCTTGCCCCTTTATGTTGGTTCTGGGGCTCAGGTTGGTCCTGTCCGGTGTAACCCAGCATGTGGCTAATATTCTTCTGGCTGGGCTACACCAGCCTGAAGCAGTAGCTCGGGTTTCCATTCCCGCCTAAGAGGGTTCTAGTTTCTCCACGTCTTTTTCACCTCTTGATGTATTGACATTACTCTGTTCATCTAATTATCAATATTGGTATCCACTGTTTTTGAAGCAGGGTCTCATGTATCCCAGGCTGGCCTCGAACTCTTTATGTAGCAGAAGCTGATGTCGAACTTCTTGTCTCCTGCCTTTACCTCCCAGTTGTTGTGCTCACAGGCATGCACCACCCAACCTGCTTTATGCGGTACTGGGAATTGAATCCTGTACCTGAACCACACCCCCAGCCTCCGAGCCACAAATCTTGATTATTACAGCTTGTGGCAAGTCTTTATTTTTCTGTATGGCCCTGTGCCATGAGTGTGTGGAGTTCAGAGGATGACTTTCTACCTTTTCTTTTCTCTTTCTTCCTTCCTTTCTACTTCTTCTTCTTCTTCTTCTTTTTTTTTTTTTTTTTGAGATAGGGTTTCTCTGTAGCTTTGGAGCCTGTCCTGGAACTCACTTTATAGACCAGGCTGGCCTCGAACTCACAGAGATCTGCCTGCCTCTGCCTCCTGAGTGCTGGAATTAAAGGCATGTACTGCCACCTGTGTAAAAGGAAGGGCGGGGCGCTTCCCATCACCCGCCCGGCTAGCTTTACCTGAAATAATTACACAGAAACTGTATTCATTTAAACACTGCCTGGCCCATTAGTTATAACCTCTTATTGGCTAGCTCTTACATATTGATTCAACTCATCTCTATTAATGCGTGTTGTCACTTGACTGTGGCTTACCAGGACGAGTCTAACCGGGGTCCATCTCGGAGAGGAGAGCTATGGCGTCTGCCTCATTGTCTTCCCCGCTTACCTATGTTCTGACCTATCAGGCCAGGCAGTTTTCTTTATTAATTAACCAATGAAAGTAACAAATAGACAGAAGACCCTCCTCCATCACACCTGACTTTCTCTCTCTCTCTCTCTCTCTCTCTCTTTCTTCCTCTTCCTTCCATTTGTCCTTCCTTCCTTCCTTTTTTCTTTCTCTTTTCCTTTTCTTGTTGTTTGTTTGCTTGTTTTTTGTTTTTGTTTTTTTTTTTTGAGACAGGGTTTCTCTGTGTAGCCCTGGCTGTCCTGGAACTAACTCTGTAGACCAGGGTAGCCTTGATTTTGGAGATTCACCTGCCTCTGCCTCTTGAGTGCTGGGATTAAAGGCCTGAGCTACAAGGCCCAGCTTGTCTCAGAGGACAACTTTCAAGAGTGGTTTTCAGCCAGGTGGGCATGGTACACCTTTAATCCCAGCACTCAGGAGGCAGAAGCAGGTGGATCTCTGTGAGTTCAAGGCCAGCCTGGTCTGCAGAGTGAGTTCCAGGACAACCAGGGCTGCACAGAGAAGACCTATCTTGAAAAACAGAACAAACAAAAAGAGTGGTTCTCTTTCCATGTAGTTGGTTCCTGAGATCAAACTCAGGTTGTAAGGTTTGGTAGCAAGCGCCTTTGACTGATGAGCCATCTCATTGGCCCCAACCTCTTAATTTCTAACTTAATCCCATTGTGGTTGAGAACAAGAGTGTGTGGTTTCTCTCCTTTAACATGCATGGGGACTCGCTTAAGGCCTACTATATGGACTGGCCCAGAGAATGTTCCACGTGTGCCTGAGAAAGACCTGTTCTGTCCTTGGGAGTGTTCTTCAGAACCATTGAGTCCAGCTGGTTTTCAGTAGTCGGACTTTTTTCCTTGTGGTTAGTCTGTCCACCACTGAGTATGGGATGTTGAAGTCTCCAACTAGCGTAGCAAATTGTGTAGTTTTCCTGCAAGCTTGTTAGGCTCCCTGCATCAGGGCTGTCCTTGGGAAGATACCTGCTTTTATCTCCTGATTGGATGGCTTAGAGACTGTTACAAAATATCCTTGTTCCTAGTTAGAAACAAAATGTCCTTGTCCCTCGTTAGCATTTCTGTCTCATACTTGGAACAGTTACCCTACCTCTCCCAGTAAGTTCTCACATGGTTTCTTATTCTAAACTTCCATTTTCAAACTTTATTCTATTTATTGCTATGACCAAATTATCTCACAGAATCGACTTAATAAATAAAAGATTTATTTTTGCAACATACTTTCAAGGGAGTTTCAATCTATCTTGGGGAGAACATATTGTTGCTGGACGAGGACAGGAAGATCCCACTGGAATGAGGGCAGTATGACCTTCAAAGGTTTGCCCTGGTGACCTACTTCTGCCAGCCAGACCCACAGACTTCAAAATAGTGCTACGAGTGAGTTGGGGACCATGAGGTCACGATCTGAGCTTATCGGGGGCAGTTTAGATTCAAACCATAAAACAGGCATGGTGGCACACATCTGTAGTTCCCAGCACTCAGGAGGCTGAGACAGGAGGATTGCCATATGTTTGAGACTATTCAAACTTATGCCATAAGTTAGTCTACACTGTGAGTTCCAGATCAGCCAGGGTTAAACAGTGAGACCCTGACTAAAACAAAACAAAACAAAACAACAACAACCGGAACCAATACTTTGCTGCAAGGTAGATCTATCTCCTCCCTATCCCTTCATGCAGTTAAGAGTCATACAGATCACACCTTTATGGACAAGTTTTGCAATTATTGCTTTGTGCAGTGAGTTGGGTTTTTTTCCCCCAAGAGTTTCTCTGGGTAGACCAGACTGGCTCCAAACCCAGAGATCCACCTGCCTCTGCCTCCCTAGCGCTGGGATTAAATGTGTGCGCCACAACTGCCCAGCTGTGCTTCTCTTATCTAGAAATATCTTTGTTTGACTGTGAGGAGGGGGTCCCACCCTCACCTCCTCTGACCCAACCTTACTCTGTGTCTTTTCCCTGGCTCCATAGCTTATTAACAGGGTGACCTTGGCACGATATACATCCTGTCCCACGTCTGTTTTCTCACATCCAGAGAGAACCTAAGGACGACCCTGAGCCTGAGGGCTGGAGGTGGGATTTAGGCAAAGGAGGTGGGATTTAGGCAAAGGAGGTGGGATCTAGGCAAAGGAGGTGGGATCTAGGCAAAGGAGGTGGGATTTAGGCAAAGGAGGTGGGATTTAGGCAAAGGAGGTGGGATCTAGGCAAAGGAGGTGGGATTTAGGCAAAGCTCTCAAGGGGGTTCTGAGCTCTCTCGAGTAGCGGCAGCCACAGAGCTATCCTGAGGGTTACATATATGAGAAAATGGCCAAGTCCCACACTGTTCTTTGGTGATGCTACTGGGCCCGAGATGCCTATGGTGGCAGCTGGCTAAGTCTCTTGGCTGTAGTACCTGAGGCCACTCTGAAGGCTTGAGAAACAGGAACCACTGCAGGGGTTGCCTGGTGGGCGTCTGGAGGCCTCTTGCTGATGTAGGGATGGAGGTGTAGGGGCAACACCACCCACTCTGTGTGCCTGTCTCTGCCCATACCAGTATCCTAGGACACAAGAAGCCACCAGAGAGGAGACTTCCTCCACCCTGCCACTTAGCCTGGCGAACCTCCTTGCAGGGACATGAACCTCACCTACCTCCATCCCAGAGCTGCTATGTCCCTTTCCCCATCTGAAACAAGTGAGACTCTGGTTCATGCCCGAGAAAGGCCATTTATTTCCAAGATATAGACTGTACTTTGAAGACAGGGCTTTCAGAAGCAGGAATCTTAGTTATCGCCTAGAGAGATGTGTCAGGGACACAGTAGGAGGAGCCATGCAGACGTAGGGGCTTTATCCAACACTGTTACAACACTTTTTAAAATGAGCAAAACATCTTTAAAAATCCTTATAAATTCTTTATAATATGTTACACATTAGAGACAATATTTACAGTAAAAGGGAGAGGGGGAGACTTTACAGCAAACCTTTGCATAAACCAAAGAGACTGAGGGACTTGGGCTGCAGGGCCAGCAACCCCACTGGGGCTTCCCTGGAGTGAGTGAGGACCGCTGGAGGCAGGACAGGTGCTCCAAGGTTTATTTACAATGTGGGGGCAGGGAGCTGGAGCCCACCCACCCTGCAGGAACAGCCCAGCTGAGACCCTAGAAATTTCAATGGGTTCTTCCTGACGGTTCCCTTAGAGAAAGGGAGTCTGCATGCTGAGCCATGGAAGCAGTGTCAAAAGGAGGAAGACGCCAGATCCTGGACACTCCAAAAAAAACTGAGGAGCGGGCAGGTCCGCAGGTCAAAGAACTTAGAGGGGTGACTAAAGTTGGCAAAGGGTGTGAGGAGTGAGTTGGTGGTGGTGGGGTTCTCCTGCCTCTGGAAACGGCCTCTACTCAGCCTTGGGCTCTGACAAGCCTGGGATAAGGTGCCTGTGTACACCAAAGGCAGAGCCCTGGCTTGGGGACAAGTGGGGAAATGAATGGGTTGGGGCAGAAGTAGCTACTGGAAACACCTTTGCACAGTGACTACACACACTCACACACACACAAGCCCCCTCTCCCATGGACACCCAACCCTATACATCCGCTCCCCAGACATTCATCTTCCCCTCCTCGGTTAGGAGCTAATGGGGATGGGAGAAAGGCAGAGGACAGACGCAAAAATCCAGCCTGTAGATTTCCTTCGGTATAAAACTTGGGCGGTTCGCCCACACTCCATTGTCAACAAGGGTCCCTACGTGAACTCACGGATATGGGTCACTCAGTCCTTTATCCAAGGGACATGAATCCCAGCAACCCCTTCCCTCTCCTGAAGACTCCCCCTTTTGCCCATCACATCAAACTCCAGCCGGCGGCACCAGCACGGCCCTACCTCCCTACTCGATACCCGGATGAGGGAGGGTGTCACAGACACTGATGGAGGCGGGCGGCAGTCGAGCGGCGCGTGGGCAGTCCCTGTAGGTTCCCTAGGTCCCCCGATGGCAGCGAGGCGGCGGATGAAGCCCGTGCCTTGGTGGACTCCAGGCTGCTGAGGCCAGAGTCCTTGTTGTCGCTGTGCGGTAGAGCGCCGGCTGGCTCCGGGGTGCCCCCTCCGCCCAGCTCCTTCCACTCGTTGAAGTTGAGGTCGGTCAGCGGGCTCTGCACCACCACCGTGTGGCGGCGCCAGCTGCTGCGGCGTCGCCGGGTCTCGGGCGACAGCGGGCGCCGAAGCCGCACCGCCAGCATGTCGTCGGCGGTGCCACGGAGACGCAGCCGCAGGGCTTCCACGCTGGGCGGAGGGGGCACCCCGGAGCCAGCCTTTTTTTTTTTTTTTTTTTTTTTTTTTTTTTTTTTTTTTT